AACAACAACAAAAACAAAATGTAGTGGTAACATTAACCAAAAAAGTTTCTCAAGTTTTAAAAATTTCTTTTTTTGTTATAAACTTGAATAAACTTAACGAATTTATCGTACCTTTGAATCTTTTTTGAAAGGTATTCCATACTTTAGGACCTCGATATAAAATGCTATATTCTGAATATTTATTTATTATCCGAGGCAGTTTATATGTGTTTAACATATTTGCTCTAAGATTATAGCTTTCATTTTTATTTAATTTAAACTTGTTATTAAAGCTTATAGGATAATTAATATTATGATATTGTAATTGTAACGATAGATGAAAATTAAATGCTGATCGACATTTATTTCAAACACATTCATCATTTTCATATCACTCATTAAGGGTTAAGTGTGTTCATGCCTATCCTTATAGTAAATGATTCTACAAGCATGTTTTTGCAAACTATATAGTTTTTGAAGCTTTGATGTTTGTATACTTACTTTGATATTGATTACTTACTTTGTTTGAATACATGAAATGTTTGCATAGCTGATCAAGCTATGTATATATATATGTGTGTATATATTTATATATATATATATATATATATATATAATATATATATATATATATATATATATATCATTTTCATGTCCTGCATTTAGGGAAAATTTCCAAAATTGGTCCCTTTCGGTCCCTAAGACGTAAATATTTTGCTAAAAGGAATTTTATGATTTCAGTGACATATCAAACCTAAATCTACTCATTGTAACGAATCTAACGATATATAACAATGACCGGGGTCAAATTGCGAAACTAAAATGTGGTTGGAGGCATGTGTGATAGGTAATTACAGAGATTTGTTCTTGTTTACATCAGAGTTTAAAGTACGGAACGCATGGACACGTCGTTCCTCCTGAGCCAACAAATCAAGAAATCATTCAATATTTCTTTGCAACCCTTCCACCTCAGTTTGTTTTTGTTTTTTTTACAATGGGGTTGTCCATAAATTACGCAACGCCTAATTTATATCTTTAAAGTAGTAGATCATTTTCATTTTGCGCGCTGATTTGATTGAAGTTAAAGAGCTGTTTTAATTTTTGTTAAAATTTATGACTAATACTAAGTAATATTAGTCATAACGCGAGATCTCAAAATACAGCAAAGATGCACTGAACAAAAATGCACCTAAAGCAAAAATTTGAAGGAATGATTCCGCACCCGAATGGGCTATTCCACATCCTTTTGAACAAACGATTTGAACTTTTTAACACCTTTTCAGATATATTTTAGCAGTATTTGGTTAAATATAATCTTTTGTAACGAAATTATATTTTGCTTATATTATGATGTAAAAAAAATTGTGAAAAAAAAAATTGACCTCCTGCTCCCATCTCACATACGCCATTGGCAGACCCCCTCTCACTCATCCGAGCGACTTACTTTATGGACGGTCCAATAACAAAAACTAAAAAAAAGTTAAACAAAAGTCTTAACCAAAAAACCTTTAATCTCCTCACAATTAAGCAAACAAAAATGTAAAAAAATATTTACTTACGACATAGCTAAAAAAAAAACAGAAAAGTTTAAAATAGAAACCAAAATGTAAGTAGGGCCAAAATGTAAGTAGGGCCAAAATGTAAGTAGGGCCAAAATGTAAGTAGTCTTGAAGGAAGGAGTGTCGGGGGTGTCCCCCCCCTAAAGCTGTCATATAAGCATTTAAGTTGGCACATTGAGCAAGTTTTGCTTTTTGAGTTGATATAATATGCTTTTTGAGTTGATATAAAAATGCTTTTTGAGTTGATATAATAAATATAGTTGGCAAAATGCCAACTAAAATGCTTTTTGAGCTAGCATTTTGCTAACTATATTTATTAATATAGTTGACATTTTGCCAACTATATTTATATTAAAGTTATAATTGGCTAATTTAAATACAAAAATAGTTTGCTATATTTATAGTTGGCAAATTGCAAGTATTGAGGACCTTTTTTTTTTTTTGTGTCTCCTTGGCAAAAAAATATTTACACCCCCCCCCCCCCACGGAAGACCTCTTCGGGACAGTCCTGAATGTAAGTAATTTAAAAACAACTTGTTTGTGGACCTCGTGAATATTAAAAACTAAAATAAAATGACGTAATACGACGTTGAACCGTAACTGTACTAAATAATTATATTTAGATAGTGAAATTTATATTAGACCTATTAAACAATTTTTTCGCCAACAATATTTTTATTTAAATTGGTTACCTCTAATATTCTGACATATTTTGTCTACGTTTTTGCCTAATTTGTTATCTGTGGTCTTAATCACTGAAACTATAATTATTAATGATAACGGAGTTATTGATAAATAAGTAGTAGTTATAGATAACAGTAGGATATATTATTTACCGTTAAATATAGGTAAACAAATAAAAATCCTATTTTTTGATTTCAGTTGCTATTTTTTTAATGGTCCCTTTTTAATTTATTTTTAAGTTAATTTAAAAAAAAAATAACTTAAAAATTTTTTTTTCTAAAGATTTATTTTTTTTACAAGCATTAATTTTTTTTTGAATTTTGAATAAATTTTTTACAAGCATTAATTTAATTTTGTAAACAAAAATTTGAAAGTTGTTATTCGAATTTTAATATAAACATTAAAAAAAAAAATCCTTTTGAATAATAACATTTTGTTGCTTTTATTAATATTATATATATATATATATATATATATATATATATATATATATATATATATATATATATATATATATATATATATATATATCTATATATATATATATATATATATACATATATATATATATATATATATATATATATATATATATATATATATATATATATATATATATATATATATATATATATATATATATATATATATATATATATATATATATATATATATATATATATATATATATATATATGTATATATATATATATAAAATCCTCTAGACTTTTTATTACTTTAACCAAATTCAATTTTTAAAAAGTATAAAAATTTACTTCCTAACCTTTGTTGTAAGCATACTATTAATTATAAATATGGCTAAAACTACATTTATAATTAATAATATACAATACAGAAGTTTTTTGTATATTTCTGAAATATATAAAAAACTTATTGTGATTTTTTAATGCACAGTGGACTAGAATTTAAAAAAGTGACTGAGAGGTTAGAACTAGTTGATGTTAATTCAAGAATGCTTAATTATATATATATTTTCTTAAGTATTTTTTTTAAATCCACCTGTGTTTTTTACCTATAAATTATTTTATTTTTAAGTATAAATTTTTCTCTTAGTTTTCTTTAACTGCAAAACATTAAAACATGAAAAATATTGATTTTTATTTGCAATTTTAATTCAAAAGTCAACCTGTTCTTTCACATTTAGATTGGGTTAATTGGTTTTTTGTTCCAAGAATTGGCAGCACTGGATGTTTTTTGTAAAATAGTTTCATTTTTCACAACAAATTGTAAAATCAACATAATTTAATAATTTTTTTACTATGAGCATATAAATAAAGAGAACAAGGAATAGAACCTTTGTATTTTGGTTAATAGTAAAATAATTTTCTCTTAATTTACTATTTAAATCATGATAGTAATAAAAGGAAGGAGGGGGGTAAATGTTTTGATACTCATTTTTTTTCCTCCAAAAAAGCAATTTTCAGAATGCAGCCCAGTCATGTCCACATCCTTTTACATGTAATACAGTGGGGTCTGCACTAGCATATCCCCTCCTATGGAAATAAAATTATGTTTCTTAACTGTTATCAGTACATAGCAATTTAATTTATTATTGACCTTTTTTTAAGAACATTTATCATTCTATTATGTAGAATACATTTAAAATCATTCATACACACACACACACATATACACACACACACACACACACACACACAGATATATATATATATATATATATATATATATATATATATATATATATATATATATATATATATATATATATATATATATATATATACATATATATATATATATATATATATATATATATATATATATATATATATATATATATATATATATATATATATATATAAATATATATATGTATATATATATATATATATATATATATATATATATATATATATATATATATATATATATATATATATCACAAATCGAATCAGCAATGCCAGGAAATCCAAATTTAAGCATCTTTTTTCAACAAAAAAAAAATCTATTTAAAATTTTTTTTACCCGGAATAATAGTAAAAATAATAGCAGTTGTTTGGAAGCAGTATTACAATTACTTTCAATTATAATTACTTTACTCTGGCTGAGATAAAAAAATATTTTGATAGCATCTACGCATTGGATATCTGCAAAAATGACAACACTCACAAAATAAATATTTTTTCGAAAAACTTGAATCATTTTTTTTTGAATCAAAGCGACACTTGATTCGCAAAGCGAATTGATTTGCAATATATATATACATATATATATATATATATATATATATATATATATATATATATATATATATATATATATATATATATATATATATATATATATATATATATATATATATATATATATATATATATATTGGAATAAAAAGAATAATGAAATTTTGATAAAAGCTCAAATTTAGCAATTTTAAATTAGCATTAATACTAAAGATTGAGTTCTAAACCCTCTCAGTATTTATTATCTCTGGATCTTAAATTTCTTTGATTTCTAGCTTACTGTGCAATTTGCTGTATATCACCCAAGGTTTTTTTAAAATGCTTTATGGGTGGCAAAAGCTTTTAGATTGAAATTTTTTGGAGAGGGTACTATTCTGTGTAGTTTTTTTACAAGACAAAGGTTGATTGCAATTAAAAATCTTTTATTGAAAATAATGATAGCAAAAGATTTAAAATTCTACAAGGCTTAACTGATATAAACCATAAAATATAGAAAGTTATTAAATAATTAAGGTAATATAATTATAAATAAGGTAAAATAAATATTTTATTAAGTTTTTATTTTCATTAGTAAAATAATGGACAAAAATGAAGAAAGGTTTTCAAAAAGAGCTAGAATGAATGAAGCAGATGATGATAGTTTTACTGAACACAATGGCAGTGTAAATCTTCTTATAAGAGAAGTGGGTTTTTTATTGTAAATTTGAAAATCAGTAAGCTTCTATTTTTTTTACTAGCACATCTTTTTTTTTGAATACAGATTTGTAAAGTAAATAACACCATATAAAAAAGGTCTTGTCTACCTAGATTTTTTAAATGTATATTTATATATATTTTTTGCCAATGAATTGAAAAATTACATTCATTTTGATGTAACACCTATAGTTTTTTATTTATGCATTATTTCATATTTTCTTGATAAGTGCAAATTTTCTTCAAGTCTGTATGTTGTATTAATCTATTTTAATATTGTAAGGATAAATACATAGCATATTTTTTTCATATATTGAAAGGTCTTTGGGAAGTATGATATTTAATACAATTCTTTACTATAAATATTTTTTAAAGTTACTATCAGAATTTATTTCTTTGTTAAAAATTCTTTTTTCAAGATTAGAAGTGTTTTGATGATTGCGACTTTCTTGAGTGTGTACTTTTATCTATCCTGAGTTGAGATCATATATAATCTCTCATCCCAGTGGCTTTTGTTCTACTTGTGGGGGCCAATGAACCTTTTAAAGATCATCATCCACCCTGCTGTCTTGTAAGCAAATGAATAATGAGTATTATAAACTTTGTGTATCCCTTTGCAAGCCAAGCAAAAAAGGAAGCATCTTGAAATTATTACAAACATCCCACATAATATATACACTACTGGTCAAAAGGTATACAGGTTTATGTGCTGCTGTTATGAAAGCAAAATAAAGAATACTTTAAAGAAACAAAAATAAATAAATAAATACTAGAAAAATTTTTGTCATCTTGTTGAAAAATTATTTAATTGTAAACAATATGAGTAATAAAAAATTATTGAAAAAATTTATGTTTAAAAAAAAAGATTAGAAAATATACATGATCCCTAAAAATATCCTATTTTGTTAAAAGTGTGATTATTTCATTGTTAACAATATAAATAAATACATACGATGAGATTTTTTTTGTGTGTGTGTGCATCTTATTAAATTTATCAAGCAAATCCAAGCATTTTGAATTGTTTGGGTTCAAAATGTTTGAACCCAAACCATTTAAAATGATTTTTCAAGAAAGTAAGATGACATAAAAAATCTTCCATTATTTTTTTTGACTCATTATTCTTCAAAGTATCCTTCTTTAACTTTTATAAAAGCAACACACACTCTGTACATACTTAAAATCCGCTATGATTCAGTTGATATTTGATTCCAGCATGTTTGTGTGAAAGCCCAAGGGTGTTTTTGATTAGTTGGTTGCATTTTTCTCGCATATCTATCTAATTTGTCCCACAACAGCTCGATTGGTTTTAAATCAATCAACTAAAGAGGCTATAACATATATAATTTCTGCATAATTTGCAAGTGTGTTTAGATTGTTATCTTGTTGAAAAGCAAATCCACAACCCAAAATTCTTTTTTCACACAGAAATGCATGTTTTTTTATATTTATTTTTATTCATAATGCTCTCAATTTGCACCAGGTCACTAACATTGTCAACGATTTCTTTTGATTTTTTGAACTCTGATTCATCTGAGAGCAAATCTCAGAGACATTTATGAATTGTTTAATCTATATGTATTTTTGCATATCTCAATCTTTTAACTTTATTTAGTCTGTGTAGTAATGGTTTTTTGGCAACAATACATCCTTTTAGGCTGCAATCGCAGTTGAAACAGATACTGGTGCTCCATACATAAAATTAAATTCTTGGCAACTTTTAAGAGCTGTTTGAATATAATTTATTTTACTTTGAACACAGATAAATTTTTTTTTGTGATTTGCAGTTGTTCTAGACCTCTCCAAACAATGACGACTCAGTTTACAGCTAATTTTATGCTTTCTTTACAATGGTCTCATTATTGCATTTTCATAAAATTTAGTTTTTGAAGCGATTTTCCATGTTGAATAACTTTCCTTGTGAAAATGCTACAATAATTATTTTTCTACACTCTGTTCTGCTTTTTTATCGATTTTTCTTTAATCAAAACATAAAATATAAACTTTTCTTCAAATTTTAATACTATGACAAAATTATTAAAATTATTACAACATGCATAACAATACACCTCTTCACAGTTCTGATAATTTTTTGCGCACACATATCTTAATATTATATTAAAATATTAAAATAGTATTCTTGAAAGAAACAGTTGTTTATATAAGATTTCTTTTATTTTTTCAAGAAAAGACATCGATTTTGCTTTATATAAGTTTATTTTAACCATTTTAAGTCTAAAATTTATACTGTTTAAATGTTTGTTTGTTTATTTAAATGTTTTAAATATATATGTGAATATGAAATAAATAAATTTAAAAGTGAGTTCATACGTTGGGTGTAAAAGCTCTTAAAGAGTATAGAGTGTGAAAATGCACAATGATAGTTATATATATATATATATATATATATATATATATTATATATATATATATATATATATATATATATATATATATATATATATATATATATATATATATATATTGTATTTGTAAATAAAATACAAAAACTCTTGTACGTATAAGAGTGCTCAATAATAAACAAATAGGATTTATTTATTTATTTAATAGAGCATTACATATATATATATATAAATTTGTAAACAGAGAAAATACAACTTTTTATGGCACTAATAGTTTCATGCCTAAAGGCAATCATCGGTCATGTAATACAAAATCAAGAAATAAAAAAACCGTTAAAATATAAAGTTACAATGAAGTGTGCTCTGTTGTCATAACAACAAACAACAGAAGAAAAAAAGAAAAAAACTATAAACGGTTGCCTAATCACTCGAATCACTCGAAAGGTATAAGTAGCAAAAAACTAACAAACTTTAAATTAAAACTCCCATAAATACTTAACCAGTTAACCAATCAGACTAAAATTTTATCCAGAGTTCGATGTGGCTATATGGTACATTTTCGCTAGTTTTTATCAAAATATATAGAGTGGTTCTCATTCTACAGGTGTTTTTATTGACACATTATGAAGTCAAATTTTATTCTCTTTTTTGTCAACTTTAAGCAAAATGAATATTGATGTAGACACATGAAAGTTTATTTAAAGTATACCTTTAATACTAAAATTAATTAAAGTCATTTTTGTGCTTTCAAAAGTTTTACTCATTGTCTCATGATAAAAATATTCATTTTTAAATGTTATTTTAACCATGAATTTGTTTTCATAATCTAAATTATTTAGTGTGAAAATGGAGCTAACATGTTCATTTTTTTTTAAAATATCTTTACTTCCAACAAGGCTGCAAGCAACCACTATAAGAATTGGAAGTTAATGGAAGAGAAAAAATGATGTTTATAGGCAAGATAGCATTAAGTTGGTCAGATTTTATACTTAAAAAAATATATATTTCAAGAAAATAAGAAAAGAACTTTTGCAATTTTTATGTAAAGTTAACAAAACATGATAATACTTTTAGATTTAAAGTTTTGAATAATGATGCTTAGTTAAAGCACATTTTAAATTTGAATTTGTGTAATCTAAGTTAAAACTACATGCATTTACCAAAGTTCTGGTCCTTTTTGCAAATTTGAATGAGTTATTGCAATTTATTTTATTTAATACCCGAAAAATTCACATTTTTAGTAATAATGCTATGTCTCAATTTATGTCATTTTAGTGATAATGCCATGTCTCAATTTATGTCATTTTAGTGATAATGCCATGTCTCAGTTAAAAAATAAAGTCATGATAAGCACAATAATACATCATGAAAAGAAATTTAACAAAATAGCAGCAATGCATGGCTAAAAAATTGTTGATGGCATTGGGGCTAGTTAAGCGTTTAGCAATCAACAAAGTAAAGTCAGTAATAAGTGAAATCCAATCAGCAAATTATTTTGTGAATTGTCATCAAGACATTAACGTCAAAGTCCTACAATTGTTCAGAGGAAGAAAAGTCACAGCGCAATTGTGCTCTGCAAATATCACAATTTATCCAGCAAGCAAAAAAAAGTGAACAATATTTTTAAATCCCTTCTACTTTTTTGGTGGTAATGGTCAGATTTAAGCGGATAAAAACATACTTTAAAATAATTTTTATTTTAAAGTATGTTCTTATTTGGTTAATATTTTTGTTTTAGTAAAACAAATTGTTTTTAAAAAATTGTTTGTATTTTATAAGTTTTAAATGTAAATACTTTTGCAGCATTTTAAAAATTCAACCTTATGAAAATGTGACAATACACATAAACATAAGAAGTGTAAAAAATTTTTTGCTAATTTTTGTTTGTGCGTGTGTGTCTAAAAGAGATTTTTTTAATTCTAAAGCGTTTGATCTTCATTTCTTTGTCATAAGAGGTTTTTCTGGAAAACAATAATATTTTTCCTGCATAAATGTTACATGACATCCACCAAGCCTGATGGATAGCTCCTGCTTTAAATCAATATACACCACACAGTGGAGGTTAGCCAAAGATAATAAGAGTGTTTTTAGTACATATTTTCTCAATAGTCATCTCTTGGAAATGTTTGTGATTTTTGTTAGCAAGCAGATGTGTAAAATGCTGAATAGTTTGTTCTTTGATGTTTTCCAACCGGTCCCTTTCAATATTTAAAGTCTTGATTTGTAATTGTACATTCAATTCTAGCCTGGTAGTTTTTAAATTTGCAAAAACCTGTTTTTTAAAACAAAGATGTTTTTAAATAATTTCTTCCAAACTGCTCTGACAAAGATTTCTAAAATGCAGTTTCAATGAGTCAATTAAAGAAGTTTTTGGCCTAAATTTTCTTCGATAACATTAGCAGCATCATTAAAATGCTACTGCCACTGGCTTTGGTGTCAAATGTTAATGCCATAATATTGCTGGTGAGATCCCAAGCTTCTAACATATCTAATTTTACATTGA